TTTCAGTTTGATATATTTCTTGCCAGGTTGGTACGTCTATGTATTCTTGTATCAGTTTGTGTACGCTTATTTTTTCTACTTTTTCGAAATCTTTGTTTATCGGTGCTTCTCTGTTTATTATGTCGTTGTTCAGGTCTTCCCACGGATGTTCCGGATCGCTGTACGTTGTTATTCCCGTTAGTAGAGCGTTCCATAGGTTTACCGCTTCTTCTTGGTCCATCTGTCTTCCTATCGTTGATATGAATCTTTCGTATATCCATATGTATAGCTCCATGAATTTTTCTCCTTCGGGATTTTCTTTGTCAATGTCCAGGAAGGGTTCTAGAGCTTCTTTGTATCTGTTGTTCCAATTTTTTTTGTATACCAGTTCTTCCAGTTGTTGTTGCGTGTACGCCGATATCGTTTGTATCGTGTACAGTATCAGGTCCGTCAGTACTGCCCCCGCTAATCCTGCTGGTCCTCCCATTGCGAATGCTACCGAGTATTCCGTTATTTTTCCTATGGCTCTCGTTAGTATTTTTCCTTCGTCGTTTGGTACGTAATGTTCTATTATGTTTGTTATTATGTCTATCATCATTTCCGGTCCTTGGTTTTTCACCCCTCCTAGGAATTTTTTCCCAGTGTGCACAGTCGTTTTTTTTATCGCGTCTGCTAGTTTCTTTGGATTTTTTTATCTTTTCCGAGAATTTTATTGTGCTTTTTACTTTTTTTTCACATCCGCCGACGCTTGATCTCTTACTGATTTTGCTGCTTTTTTCATCGTCGATTCTCCTTTCCAGTGTTCTTTCGCTGCTTCTTTTAAATTTTGTACTTTTTGTTCTATCGTTTTTCCTTCTTTCCATTTTTTTGCGTATTGTTTCAGTATTCTTTTGTAATCTTCTTTGACTACTTGATATGCTGGTTTTAGCGTATGTTTTATCATATTTTTCACTTGTTCTATTGCTAGTGATCTTAATGTTTTTTTTATTCCCACTTATTTTATTCCTTGGTATGTGTCTTCTGCTACTATTTCTACTAGATGTTCTAGATCGTCTTCGTCCGTGTGTCCTCCGTGCGTTTCGTAGTAATCCGCCAGTAGTTCCCACACGTCTTTGTCTCTTATCCATTCTTCTTCGTCTTCTTTGTTTTCTCCTAACGCTTCTGCTAGTGCTTCTAATCTTCTCCAATTTAGTATCACGTCTTGTTCCGACATTGTTGTTGGATCTACTCCTGCAAATGTGCTGATAAAGTCTCTCAGTTCTTTTGCTAATTCTGCTTCTTCGTCTCCGTATGCTACTTCTCTTATATCTCCATCTGTATGTGGTGTTTCCGTATCTTCCATTGGTACTGCAAATAGGTCGTCTATGAAATCTTCTAGTTCTTCTTCTCCTAGTTCTAATAGTTCGTCCACTTTGCCTTCTAGATATCCTTCTATGCTTCCTTCTTCTATGAATTTTTCCAGTTCTGTGAATACCATTCCTAGAAATGTTGTTGCGTGTTCTGCTTCTTCTTCCAGTTCCGGTAATATAGCCTCTTCCACTGCTAATGTGAATTTACTTTTTTTTGCAGGTGGCATTATGAACGATCTGCGAATAGAAGATTGTAATATTGAATTACTCAAACGCAAGAAGCCTTTGGTTATATATCTTTACGGAAAGAGTGGAACCGGTAAGACTCATTGGATTTACGAATCTATCGATTCTAGAGAAATCTATAAATGGAGCGGTCTCATGGCGGATTTACATCCCCGGTTCGACGGATATTCCGGACAATCTGTCGTCCTTTTCGACGATTATCATCACGTTCTACATACCAAAGGTGGACCCCAGCCTGTAATGACCCCGACTTTGATGTTGAACATTCTGGACAAATGGCCTATAACTGTGCCTGTCAAGCATGGCGACGTGCCATGGTTCCCTCGTGCAATTGTGTTTACAAGCAACTTACCTTTTAAATTTAATTCCAAGAGATATTTCTCTTATCACGAGGTGTACTATGCTCTTAGGCGTAGATTTGATTACATATACGATGGTGTTTCATCTGATATGCCTACTTTGAAGTACCTAATAAATGAATATTATAATTGATCATGTGACTTGAGTGATTTTTTGTACATTCGTTTACCAATTACCAACCATTTCTCTCTCCAAAAGCCCAGCTTTGCATCGATTGGCTGGAACGCGCGTAAGCATTTGAGCCTTCTAAATCTTCCGATAGTCCTAGAACTGGTCCCTTACCCTTGTTACGCCCTGTTCAATTGTTGATTGAACAGGGCATAACGGGAGGGGGCCAGTTCTAGATGGCGATTTTTACATATCTCCCCCTAGAAGTAAGTCCCATAAGGAGTTCTTCTTGTGTCTAATTTTTGGTTGGTATTTGGTATTCAAATGTACAGAAAATCACTCAAGTCACGTGATCATTACATCATCACTTTCATCATCACCATGGAAACATAACTTTCAATGAATTAATATACAACTTTTTCAACTTGTTTCAACTCATTTTATTCAACATAACACAACATTTTCAACTTTATTCTTGAACATTATAGTCACCCTTGTTTTCATCAAAGTATTTTTCAAACATGTCATTTAGATATTTCCATTGTTCTTCATTCCAACAGTATTTACCATTATCATTAACGTCTTCATTTGTTTGCAGGAAATCTATTATTACATCAAGTGGATTTTCATCATTAGTATTTTCCTCATCTTTAACATTTAACTCTTTTTCCATATTTTCCATTTCATTTTCATACTTTTTGTAGTTTTGGAAGTATGATTCTTTAAACTCTTTTTTAACTTTCTTATTCTCTTCCTTATTTTCTTTGGTTATTTGCTCATTTGTTTGGCATACCTTTAAGCTAAACACTCTTTTCATATTTTGTGGTAACAAGTCATGTTGATCGTCGTTTTCAATTATAGCTTTTGCTATTTTGTTCATGTAATTGCTAAATTGAGAATTTCTTCTCATCTCATCTTCAATTACTTTCCATTCATCTAACATTTGATCTATGACCATTCCACCAAATATAATTCTGCTTAGATCTTTATCAAAGAATAGATTTTCATTCTTAGTTGGTTTATCCATCTTTATCCATTCAAACCTTCTTTCAAGTCCACTTAAAGGGCTATTACCTCCCATCTCCTCATGTGTTCTTAGTATTCTAGGGAAGTTTTCGTTGGACGTACAGATAATCCACATTGGATTAACCTCTTGTGTAGAGCTATGCACTTTTACACTGGTCTTTTCCCCACCACTTAGGTTCCATACAGTAGCCCTGTTTTCTTTACTAATCAGGTTAACCTCTGTCATTTCATCAAATAAGAAGCTATTTGTTTTAGCTGTTACCTGATATCTCCCTACTCCCTGACTGTCCATGCAAACTTTCTTAATGTTTGTCCTAGGTATCATCTTAGTTACGCTAGTTTTACCAGTATTTGGTCTTCCGTAGAAGAACAGTTGCTTTATGTTATCATTCTCATTTCTATATAAGAACATTGTAAATAATAACGTACATTTCTGTAACAACGTAACATGGTTATCATTCAAGTTATCGTTAATTTTCTTAACCGTGTCTATCTTGGTTGCCACACTGGCTTGCATGTCACATTTCTTTAAGTTACTTAGGTCTAATTGGTCCACAAATAGTTTGACACCCATCTTTAAATTGTGTGTCTGAACGAAATTTAGGTCGTTCTCTTCTTGCAGAGTTTGTAATATGCTCTCTGCGTTAATGTTTACTTCCTTTTCTAGTAGGTCGTTAACAATTCTCATCATATTTGTCATACTTGTCAAGTTATTAACACTGAATTTTTTTTTTCAGGTTTCAAGTTTTCAGGATTTGGATTTGGACTGTTTTTTATGATATACCTCTTCCAAGCTTTTAGATTGGACACAGGTTTACAATATCTGTTCATTAATCTGACACAGTCACATCCCATGCTCGTTAATGCATGTTCTAGCATTCTAATTGCCTTTTTTTTTTCTTAGATACAAGGCTTTACCACTTTTGGTATCGGTAGCAGACAATATTGCATGTACATGTTTATTCTCTTGTACGTACTCATCTGGGTCCTCTATGGTTCCAAATTCTAAATGTATCGTATTCTGGCCATTTTCGCCATAAGTACTAGTGTATGTTTGCTCTTCATATGGTCTGACTAATGCAATATTGTTTGCCATCCCGTCTCCTAGTCTAGCAAGGTCTATAGTGCATGCCCAGTAACGGGCTCTACTCACATTATCGTTCGTTCCCTTTTTTTTGGTCAATTTCTTGCTCTTTGGAGTCTGCCCCCCCCCCCACACTACTTCTACGCTTTCTCCGCTACACTCTCCCTCCTCTTCGCTTTCGCTAATTTGCAATTTCGGCACCTTACCCTTTTTTTCCTCTCTTGTAGCTGTTGCTTCCTCTGCTTCTCTCCTTTTTTTTTGTTGTTCTCCACTGTCCAAGTTTGTTCTGGAGGCCGAATAGTAGTTGCTCATAATCTTGAATTTCTTTGTCGCTTTCTGTCAATATTTCTTCGAATCTCACCTTCTGTCTTTCGTGTATTGCGTTGTAGAATCTTCTTGTTCCGGAATTTGAGTAGTAGTTTCCTTCACGTATTAGCCAGTGTAGTTTGTCTTGTATCTTGTTCAATTTTTTGGTTTTTTTCTTTCCAATAGTGTAGCGTTTGCAGTGTTTTTTCGCACAGGTTTCGAAAAAATTCACCAGTATTTCACGCTTGTCTTTTTTGTAGTCTGTGATTTCGCTCGTCTGTAATATAAAAAAAGGAGAGAAGGATTAATAAGTACAGTTTAACGTGAATTTTTGTTTAACCAACCTAATCGCTATTATAAAAAAAAAATAAAATTTTTTTTAATTTTTTTTTTATTTTTTATTTTTTTTTATATTTTATTCAACTTTTTCATCAACATAATATAATATTTAACATAACATCATATTTAACATAATTATTAACTTTTAAACATAACAATATTAACTGGTTTTAACATGGTTTCAAAGTGTTTTTAACATAACATTATTCTTTTTCAAACTGATTGTTCAAGTTGATTCTGATATCTTTGCTGTTTGACATCGCCACCATTTTATTTCTCTCAATCTTTGCTTTTTGACCATCTTCAACTCGCCTGGTATTTATGATTCTTTCCCTGTGCTGGCGATATTTTTCACAGATCATGCAATGCTCCTGAGGAGCATGTATGGGCTTAGATCTGTCATTGTGCATAGCACGGTTAAGTTTTTCGTTATCGTTCATTTGGCTATGGCACCTAGCCTCTGCTCCGTACACTCGATCTTCATACGCTATGATCCTTGTCAACATGAATTTTGCCTTTTTCTCCAAGTGATCTGGATCCTCATGTCGTTCAAGTTCTTTGAGATAGTTCTTAGTGTCGTCCTGTAAGTCATAGAGGATTCGCTGATCCTCATGAGTTTCTAAGAGTGTCTCATATTTTCTTTTGTAGCTATTGCGGCTTCTAGTCGCCTCTCTGATCACATCGTGAGCCTCCTGAACATTGTGCTCTATGTTGCTTAGCAGTAGATTTTTGTCTTCGTACTCCGCAGTATTTGCGGCGTACTTTAGCATGTTGCGCAATTGTTGGCTTATGGTTACTACCCTGCTGTAATCTAACTTTAGAACACTTACTTTGGCTCTGTGTTCGATGAGCTGTCTCTCACTTTCTGCCTCCAACACGTTCACTTGCATGCAGAATATGCGTAGTTGCTCAGTTTTTTGATTCAACAGTTCTTCCATTTCAAATATTTTCTCTTCGTTTCTCTTGTCTTTTTCATTGGTTATCGCAATGTATTCATCAAATTTGAGCAGCGTGTCTTTGAGTAGTATCTTGTCTCTGTGAATGTCGTTTCTTTCATCCACAAAGTTTTGGAAGTCTTCGTCCAATTCTTCTTCACATTTTTCTAGTTCTTTCTCCTCTTCCGTTGTGATTCTTTCAATACTAGACACTGCTTCGATGGTATCCACAATGTCTTTCTCTTCTTCTTTGTCTACTCTTATGTTCACTGTCGGTATCTCTTCCATGTCATCGCTACTACTTTCCAAATGTTTTGTTGATTGCATCTTTGAAAACTAATTCAAGTGTGTCTCTCAGATGTTTAATTTCTTGTCCGTTTGATTCAGTTTGCTCGTGAGTATAAAATGTGCAAACTGCAGTTGCAAATACAATAGACACAAATGTTAATACTAACCAAAAGAGTATCGAGAATAAAACGCAAGTGCCACAGTCGTTATCTTCTCCAGCCATGAGTTTAGTGTGACTATTTTCTGGTTCTCCCGTCTTTTTATGCACTCGCCCGTCTTCCCTGCTTCAGCGCTCAGCCAATTAGCTGCCTACGCGCTCATTTCCGCTTCCCCGATTGGCTCTACGCGCCGCTATTCCTCTCACGTCCGCTATGTTAATCGCGTACGCACAAACCGTGATTGACAGCGCACAGTTACTAATTTTAGTAACGCGCGTCTTCCTGCTGTACGCGACTTGTTTACTACTTGTATTTTTCCACCACGTGACTTGAGTGATTTTCTGTACATTTGAATACCATATACCAACCATTATTTAGCCTCTATCTCTTCTTAAAGCTTTTTACACGCTGTAGTAGTCCCTTAATGAACCAAATACGTTTAATTGGGGTTTTTCGCAGTTCTTTTTTTGCCTAGTCCCTTACTACCATACTACACCCCCTTTTCTCCCCTGGGTGTTGTATTACCCCCCTCATCACCTATTAGGTGTTGTGCTGCCCTCTACTAGGTAGATATTTGGTTTCTTACCCCTTAAGGTGTGTTACTTCTTCAGCATATATATGTAAAAATCGCTATCTAGGAACTGCCCCCACCCGTTGGCCCCTGTACAGTCACAAACTGTACAGGGCCCAACTAACCCCTTAAGGTGTGTTACTTCTTCAGCATATATATGTAAAAATCGCTATCTAGGAACTGCCCCCACCCGTTGGCCCCTGTACAGTCACAAACTGTACAGGGCCCAACTAGGGTAAGGGACCATTCCCTAGATAGCTCGGAAGGATTAGGAGGCTCAAATGCTTACGCACGTTCCAGCCAATCGATGCAAAGCAAGTTTTGGGTGAAGAAGTGGTTGGGAAATGGTATGTCAAATGTACAGAAAATCACTCGAGTCACGTGTTCAATTATAATATTCATTTATTAGGTACTTCAAAGTAGGCATATCAGACGAGACACCGTCATATATATAGTCAAATCTACGCCTAAGTGCAGAATAGACCTCGTGGTAAGAGAAATATCTCTTGAAATTAAATTCAAAAGGTAAGTTGCTTGTAAACACAACCGCACGAGGGAACCACGGCACATCGCCATGCTTGACAGGCACAGTTATAGGCCATTTGTCCAAAATGTTCAACATCAAAGTCGGGGTCATTACAGGCTGGGGTCCACCTTTGGTATGTAGAACGTGATGATAATCGTCGAAAAGGACGACAGATTGTCCGGAATACCCGTCGAACCAGGGATGTAAATCCGCCATCAGACCGCTCCATTTATAAATTTCCCTAGAGTCAATAGATTCGTAAATCCAATGGGTCTTGCCGGTTCCACTCTTTCCGTAAAGATATATAACCAAAGGCTTCTTGCGTTTGAGTAATTCAGTATTGCAATCTTCTATCCGCAGATCGTTCATAATGCCACCTGCAAAGAAAAAAGGTAAATTCACATTAGCAGTGGAGGAAGCTATATTACCAGAACTAGAAGAAGAAGCAGAACATGCAACAACATTTCTAGGAATGGTATTCACAGAACTGGAAAAATTCATAGAAGAAGGAAGCATAGAAGGATATCTAGAAGGCAAAGTAGACGAACTATTAGAACTAGGAGAAGAAGAACTAGACAAATTCATAGACGACCTATTTGCAGTACCAATGGAAGATACAGAAACACCACATACAGATGCGGATATAAGAGAAGTAGCATACGGAGCGGATGAAGCGGCATTAGCAAAAGAACTGAGAGACTTTATCAGCGAATTTGCAGGAATAGATCCAACAACAATGTCGGAACAAGACGTGATACTAAATTGGAGAAGATTAGAAGCACTAGCAGAAGCGTTAGGAGAAGGAGAAGAAGACGAAGAAGAATGGATAAGAGACAAAGACGTGTGGGAACTACTGGCGGATTACTACGAAACGCACGGAGGACACACGGACGAAGACGATCTAGAACATCTAGTAGAAATAGTAGCAGAAGACACATACCAAGGAATAAAAGAAGTGGGAATAAAAAAAACATTAAGATCACTAGCAATAGAACAAGTGAAAAATATGATAAAACATACGCTAAAACCAGCATATCAAGTAGTGAAAGAAGACTACAAGAGAATACTAAAACAATACGCAAAAAAATGGAAAGAAGGAAAAACAATAGAAGAAAAAGTACAAAATTTAAAAGAAGCAGCGAAAGAACACTGGAAAGGAGAATCGACGATGAAAAAAGCAGCAAAATCAGTAAGAGATCAAGCATCGGCAGATGTAAAAAAAAAAGTGAAAAGCACGATAAAATTCTCGGAAAAGATAAAACATCCAAAGAAACTGGCAGACGCAATAAAAAAAACTACGGTACACACTGGGAAAAAAATCCTAGGAGGAGTGAAAAACCAAGGGCCGGAGATGATGATGGACATAATAACAAACATAATAGAACATTACGTACCAAACGACGAAGGAAAAATACTAACGAGAGCCATAGGAAAAATAACAGAATACTCGGTAGCGTTCGCAATGGGAGGACCGGCAGGACTAGCGGGGGCAGTACTGACAGACCTGATACTGTACACGATACAAACAATATCGGCGTACACACAACAACAACTAGAAGAACTAGTATACAAAAAAAATTGGAACAACAGATACAAAGAAGCTCTAGAACCCTTCCTGGACATTGACAAAGAAAATCCCGAAGGAGAAAAATTCATGGAGCTATACATATGGATATACGAAAGATTCATATCAACGATAGGAAGACAGATGGACCAAGAAGAAGCGGTAAACCTATGGAACGCTCTACTAACGGGAATAACAACGTACAGCGATCCGGAACATCCGTGGAAAGACCTAAACAACGACATAATAAACAGAGAAGCACCGATAAACAAAGACTTCGAAAAAGTAGAGAAAATAAGCGTACACACACTGATACAAGAATACATAGACGTACCAACCTGGCAAGAAATATATCAGACTGAAATAGACGGAGAACAATCGGGAACTGCGCAAGGAGGAGGAATACCAAGAAAACACCAAGGAGTGGACAAATCAGAAGTGAAAGAACCAAAATTTGACTGGGACGATATCGATCCGAGAGACCATAAAGTGAACCACGACAAAATAGAACCATACCATTCACAGGAAAAAGCATGGAGAGCACACAAAGAAGAAGAGAGATTAGCATCTGAAAAAAATCCTAAAAACAGAAATCCAGTAAAACCAATACCAATACCAGGAGGAAAAATATCTAGAGGAGAAATAACAACAACAGATATAGAAACACTGAGACGAAAAAGAATAGAAATATACAGAGAAAAAGAAAGAAGAGAATTCTTCACAATAGACAGACACGGTAACTTACCAGAAGAAGACGAAGACGAAGGCTAAATGCCAAAGAAAAAAGAAAAACAGAAACATAAACGACCAATAGACAGCGATAGCGACGATGAATGGAGAGACTTCAACGCAAAATGGAACGAAATGGATGAAAAATGGGCAGATTTTCACGAAAAATCAAAAAGACAACATGTTACCTCGACCCCAAAAGAAAAAACAGAGAGGAAAGAAAGGAACGTGTTTGCGAGTCTACATACTCCAAAAAATGTTCCGAAAAAGACTGATGGAGGAGCAACAGCGAAGGATAGAACATATACTAAAAGCCCAGGAAAACTCGGAGCAAAACAAGGAGACCAAATGAAAAGTTTCTTCAGAAACTGGCTAAAAAATAAAAAAGATAAGACATTCACGAAAGATCCAGGAGCACCGAAAAAAAAATTCAAGAGACCAAGCCTAAAAGAATGGGAAAAAATAACAGTAGAGAAAGAAGAAAAGAAAGGAAAGAAAAAAAAAACTAAACCTGAACCACGAAGAGACGAACGACCGCATCTACTCGATTGGGACAAACCAATATTAATAAACCACGAACAAGGATGGGTGTCAGGACATCCAGCAATAAGCATAGAAGA